GGCCATGTGGTGGGTGGAGGAAGGTTAAACAGTTGAATGGTGGATGGGAAGATAACGAGGAGGCGGCAGCTGACCGGAAGGCAGGAAGTGGTGCATAGTAAGTGGATAATTTAACATACAGGTGAGTCAATGGCAAGTAGATTAGCAGAGATCACTGAGCGTAAGTATCAAATGATAAGTACTAGATGGAGATGATGGGTAGAGACTAGGAGACTAGTGGGGAGGAACAACGGCAGGTGACTGTTATCCCCAGTGCCTAGAACTATGTTTGATACAGAAGAGGAACCCAGTGACGTTTTCTAGAACGGGGAAGTGGATATTCGGTCAATGGTACTTAGACTAATAGTGAATTATGGCAGATAATTGATGGGTGGATAATTGATGCACATTGAACACGTAGGCATGTGATAGACAAGGATCGCTCAGTGGGTGGATGGATGGAGGTGGGTTATATATATATATATATCATTCATATAAATATGGATGGTAACTGATGACTGATTACAGGTGATGAGTTCTGGCTGGCTGGATGGAGCTTAGCAGAAAGTTCAGGATACACGAATAGTGAACAACAGACTGAGGATTGAAGTTAGGCAGGTGGCGCATGGGTGCATGGAGTTATTTGATGGAAACCTGTAACACTGGATAGTTCCGGAGAGATGATGAATGGATGGTAAGTGAACGCCTGTTGGGTGGGTGTTTCTTAGTATGCTGATGTTTAGCGAATTGCCTGGGGATAGTGAATACATGGGTCCACGGTAGCTGGATGGGTGTGGTCATGACGAGTGTTCACAGTAGGTATTGGCTGGTGGTAGAATACATGGGTGCTGGATGCAATGTTAGGACCAGTATGTGGGGATGTAGCTGGCTCGCCGTGTGAGGAGATGTTAGGACCAGTATGTGGGGATGCAGCTGGATCGCCGCGTGAGGAGATGTTAGCTGCTGGTCGGTGACTGAGTGATGGACGGGGCATGGGTGGGTGGTCGTTGGAAGGGTCGACCATGGAGTGGATGTTGGGCTGTTGATGGAATGGTTGGGTGCGAGGTGATCTGGATAATCAGGCGACTGGATGTTGGTTGCAGGTCTCTGAGACAACTGGGCGTTAGAGGGTCCACAGTGGATTCTAGAAGGGGAATCGTGTAGATCACGTGTGTGGGGTGATGCACTACGGCCTTGGGTGTCAGACCGACCGTCCCGGGCTGTGTAGACCTTCTGGGGAATGGGACGAATATGGGAGAGGGAATAGCGAACAATCCCAACCTGCCCCCTTTCCTACCCCTTTCACTTCCCCTTCAGGTGCCGGGTTGGAGGAAATCCCCTCCTTACCTGTCTGGCTACTCCGCATGACGCTACACCTCACGCTCTAATCTTGAGACTGGGGGAGGAGGTCTGAAGTGGCCAGGACCAGGTTCTGGCAATAGGGTGGTGTCTGGGGAGGTGGAGGCCCGGTCCTTCCGGTGGCCCTGCAGAGCAGAGGGCGGGAGTGTGAATGAAGGGCCGGCTGGCTGCGAGCGCGTGTGTGTGGGCGGAGAGCTCGGAGGAGGATCGAGGGAGGCGAGCTCCCGAGCCAGCGTGGAGGCCCTGTCAGCGCCAGCGGTGAGTGTCGGTGAGTGTGCGGGAGGCGCAACGCCCCCTCCCCACCCTCACCCTCTGGGTCCCGTCCGAGGGGCACCGTGGCAGCCAGAGGTGGGCGCACCGGGAGGAGGGCCGGTGCAGTAAGGAGTTAGTGCGAGCACCCCGGGGAAGGGACGGGGGTGGGTCTCAGGGTCCTCCTTGGCAACCTAATGCGGGACTCTGGACCAAGAGGCCCTCTACTGCCTGCGGTCCACCACACCTGGCCCTCCCGCACCCCAGAGCGGATGGGGGTGTGGGCGGCGCTCACAGCGGTAGCTTTGGACGCCAGGCACTGGGCACTCGCCCTCAGCCTCGCGGTCCCTTTGGAGCCCCGTCCTTGCTGCTATCTTGGCTCCCCAGATTTCCCCCCCTGGGATTATCTCCCTTTTTTCTGCCTCTCTTTCCAGTTCTTCTTTGCATGGCCTCTGTGATCACTCTCCCTCTCTCTTTTTCGAATGTCTCTGAGACATCTTTGGGTCTCTGTTCTGGGCTTGACTGAGGTTCCCAGAACTAGGAGGTATGCAGGACCCTGAGGGGGTCCCAGAGCTGGGAACAGCAGGCCACAGGGCAGCCCATGGCTCTGGGACAGAGGCACTAATGGCTATGATGTCGCTGTGGCTGCTTACTGTCCAGGGGATGCCACCACAGGCATGTGTCCCCTTCTAGACTTCTCTGGGGTTCCATGGAACTTGAGCTGACCGAGATGGACGACTGGTGAAAGGAACCTCATTTTCCAGACGAGCAGCTGACCATGCTCGAGCACCCTTCCCTAGTGCCAGCGGGGTCTCAAACATTCCATTCTGCTGGTCACTATTTTGTCACCCCGAGTATCTGCCTCCCTCCCGGAAGGGAGTCTTCCCATCCTTCTGGTCACTGTTTTGCTTTGGTCCAGTCTCCCAGCCTGTGGCCCTGTGCTGGCTGTCCAAAATCTGGCCACTGGCTGTAATACCCACCCTCATTTCTTCCTCCTACCTACACTGCGCCCCAAGAACCTACCGGCTGCAGTGCTGGGGGAGAGCCTGAGGGTGAGCCTATGACTTCTGGCAAGGACTTTCCTTCCAGGGTCCCTGCCGTGGAGGCTCTGACCCAGCCTCCGCCACCTGTGCTGGCCTGGGTAGGCATGGCCGTGATCAGGCAAGATGTCAGCTTCCTTCTGGTAGTCGGACCTTGGCACAGTCCAGGGGTGTGTGGGTGGAGGGGTGTTCTTGGGGAGGGACTGGGCACCTTGGCCTCTGGCTGGCTCTAACTCAGTCCCAGATGCTCCCAGCCTCCCGATTCTGAGACCTGTTTGGGTCCCCAGGTCTGCTGTGTTCCCTGCAGTCCCTAGCCTTCTGCTGCCCTGCCTGCCCGCTGTTCATCCCCTAGGCCAGCTGACCTTCCTCCAGGAAGCCTTCCTGGCTCTCAAGTCTGGGTCCGTCTCTCCCCCTCTTGCTTGCCACACTCCTCCACAGCCCTGGGCACTCACTGCGTGGCAGCTGTGCTCTTCCTATGAGGGAGCAGCTGGAGCCAGCATAACAAAGAACAGGTCTAAGCTGTGAGCACCGCACCAGGCGCCGGGCGGGCGAGGTTGAGGCAGGTGCTCCTGGAGGAGGACAGCTCACCCCAGCTGCAGTGGACACCTCATTTCCGTTCCTGTCTTTGTGTAGCCCAGCAGCAGCAGCATGAGCACCCTACAGTCGGAGAGTCCTGTGGAGGGCGCCGGAGGCCCAGAACGGAAGGCAAGTGGCTGAAGGGGCAGGAGACCAGAGGGAGCCAGCCTTGAGCTCTAGTTTATGACTTCAGATCAGATATGCCTCCCATCTCCGCTAGCCTTCGGGGTGGGGAGGCCACTGCTACTTTTGTTTGTTTGTTTTTGTGTTTGTTTTCCGAGACAGGGTTTCTCTGTGTAGCTTTGGAGGCTGCCCTGGAACTCACTCTGTAGACCAGGCTGGTCTCGAACTCACAGAGATCCGCCTGTCTCTGCCTCCCGAGTGCTGGGATTAAAGGCGTGCGCCACCAATGCCCGGCCACTGCTACTTTTATAGAAATTTGGTGGGTAAAGCAATTGAAAGCAAGCTGCCCTGACTTTCTTACACCCCTTCAGGACCTGAGCTATCAAGGCTTATTCCCCAAGCACTTGACCACACTTTGCTCTCTGCAGGGTGATACAAATTTTTGTTTGTTTGTTTAGAAGCAGAGTTTCTCTGTGTAACTGCCCTGGCTGTCCTAGAACTTAGACCAGAGTGTCCTTGACATCACAGAGATCCACCTGTCTCTGCTTCCCTAGTGGTGGGACTAAAGGTGCGTGTCACCACCACCCGTCATGGGAGATACAGTTTTAGGGTGCCCTCAGCTCCAGTTTTTTTTTTCTTTTTTGGTTTTTCGAGACAGGGTTTCTCTGTGGCTTTGGAGGCTGTCCTGGAACTCGCTTGGTAGTCCAGGCTGGTCTCGAACTCACAGAGATCCGCCTGCCTCTGCCTCCCAAGTGCTGGGATTAAAGGCGTGCGCTACCAACGCCCGGCTTCAGCTCCAGTTTTTGTCATGGGTGTTGATGCAGCAAAATGTTTAAGTCTGTACTGGGGTGCGCTGATGCACCCCTGTGATCCTAGTAGTCTAGAAAGTGAGTCAGAAGGGTCAAGGCCTGCCTTGGCTACATAGACGGTTTCAGACCCTGTTTCACAAGTAAAATCAGATGAGAGCCTAGTCCCTGCCCAAAGCAGCAGCCTGGATTCTCTGTTCCAGAACTGGGTTAGGTCCATGGAGCCGGTGAAGGAGGAGCAGCCTAGACTCTGAGCTCATGGGCACAGCTACCCCGAAGGCCCTACTGGCCTGGCCACCTTCCCATAGTGGGTACCCTCCAGGCAGCACCCCTGGCCAGGGCGGGGACGGTGGCTCGGCTCAGCAATGCCAGCATAGGGTCAGCCCCACGGGGATCCAGCTGTGGGGCCACAAAAGAGTCCTTGCTCTGCTGACCCAGTCTGGTGACACCTGTCCTCAGGCCTCAGGCTCACCTGCAGCACTTGGCTGAAGAGGTCCCGGGTAGAGCATGGAAGCGTATATGAGAGACCAGTGTCCAGTGGCTCTAAGTGGCCATCCGGGGGCAGTGTAACAGCCTGCCTGCTCTGGGCCTGCTTTCCTGGGGGCCGGTGGGCCACCGTGGGAAGGTGCATATACACTGGGTGGTTGTCTTTGCCAGAACTCCAGGAGGGCGCGGAGGTGGGGCAGTGTGGGCAAGTCAGGCCCTTGGGCACCAAGGGACGGAGATGTGTGAGACAGCCTCGACCTTGAAAAGCCTTGAACGGGAGGTGGAGATGCTGAGGGCACCCAGAGGGCGTGTGGGCACCGAACAATGAGCCAGAGCCAGCTCTGATTGCCATGGCAACGTCTTCCTAGCTCCTCAGCTTGCCATGTGGAGGGAGGAGGCCAAGGACCCAGCAGGGAAGCTCCTGGAAAGGGAGTATGCTGGGTTCCAGGTATGGGAAGCAGCTGGGGCTCCGTCCTGGGCTCCCTCCTGAGTGACTTGGTCTCTGTGGTCTTGGGGTCTGTCTGTGAAATGGGCTTCTCTGGGTCTGAGCCCAGGTGAGTGCTATGGTGTTCCCTGCGGTTATATTCCCCAGTGGTGGGAAAAGGCTCGCCCTACCTGTTCTTGACCTTCCTAGGTAGAGCAGGTGGAGGGCAGGAGAGGCAGGGGCCAGGAGCCCGTGGCCCGGCATCGCCCTGAGCCTTCCACACTCTCCCTTTAGGCCGCGGTAGGAGTCCAGGGGGAAGGGCCCTCGGCTCTGCCAGCGACTGCCCTCTATTGTGGTGGAGCCCACTGAGGTGGGTTCTGTGGAAAGTGGGGAGCTGCGTTGGCCGCCCGAGGGCACCCAGAGGGGAACCCCTCAGAGCCAGGCGGCTGCCACTGGTGAGTGACAAGACATTTCACCTGTCTCAGAAACCACACCCGCTTCCTGTTCGTGTCTGTGGTTGGTGTGGGAACCCTGCACCCGTTCACAGCCCAGCGTCCCGCCCCCCCACCCCCAGCACCGAGCACTGCCTTCGCCTCCGCCTGCTTCTGTTACCATGCTTCCTGCTGTCTGTCTGTTCCTGTCCCCTTTTACATGCCTCAGAAATGCACGCTCTCCCACCGTCCAGCCGGCTTTCTCCTCTCCTTCCTTCAAGACCTTTGGAACATGCACAGTGCCCACAAGGACCCGGAGGGGCCAGGGTGATGGGGCACATTTGGGAACACGGGTTCCTCAGGTCTTGGCGGCAGGGGCCTTGGTGAAAGACTGGGGCTTCTAGAGGAGGGTGGGGCAGGAGGGGGTCAGTCCTCAGGGCCAGCAAGCTGGCAGCGGAGGCTTCTAGAGTAACCCTCAGGCCCCTGAAAGCTATGGGCATGCAGGCTGAGCTGGGAATCCTTAAGCCTGGAAGGTGCTGGAGAATCTCCTGTGAGGGAGTGAGATCAGCTCCCGGGAAGGATGCTCACACCCCACAAACCCTCCTCCTCTCCCCAGACCTCACTCCCTGGGAGTACCCTTTATAGTAGCCCGCTTGTAGCTTGGGCCCTGGAGGGGTCTGTGCCCATAGCCCCTACTTCTGCTCAAAACTCCTTCACCCTCTGTCAGGCCAGCATCAGAGACAGTAGCAGCAGGGACTGACCCTTAGGTGACCACTGAGGCTTGGGCTCTGGAGAGGTCCTGGGTCTCTCTCCCACACTCTTCCCTGAAGTATAGGGCAGGGTGGGAAGGGCTGCTTCTGCCCCCAGAGCCGGGCTTCATCCTCCTTCTCTCTCTCCCTACAAGTGTATCATCTCCCCTCCCTTCCTGTCAGCCCCCGGGAGGAAAGGGCTGTCCTACCCACGTGTCTGCCTAAGGCTTACCTTATGCTCCTAGGGCCAATCAAGCTACAGCTCATCACCAATACAGAGGCCTTTGTGCATTGTTTTTTTGTTTTGTTTTGTTTTTTTTCAGCTCCTTCCTCGAGTCCACCAGGAGCACCAGGGAAAGCTACAGATCATGATGGCATGGAGGGTGCCAGCGCTGGGCGCCAGGCATTCCCTGGTCCAGTAACAGATAAGGGTATGGCAGGCTCTGCTCTCTGACCGCTGAGAGGGCCTTGACCCCAGGAGGACTGGCTGATTCACAGAAAAGCCTGGGCCCACCAGGACATCCAGTTCACCAAGCTTCCTGTCTGGCTTGGTGTGGCCAGGACTTCAGCCCCTGACTTTGTGCTCCGTAGCCCAGATCTGGAGTGTACCCCTCTTTGTTCAGTGGTTTGAAGCAGAAATAAAGGTACCCTTCCTGGTGGCCAGGGGCACCCCTGGTGGGGACTTGAGGTGCTGAGGACAATTTTGGTCTGACCGGTGACATTCTGACCTCTCCTGAGAACCTAGACTGAGCAAGTCAGAGAGTTGAGTGGGGTAAGCCAGCAGGTGCTTGGAACTTGGACGGGGAGGGGGAATGTCAGGCTGAGCACAGCCAGAGTCTCCAGGATGGGTCTGTTCAGACCTGCAGAGCGGGCTCTTCTGTTGCCTCTGCCTAGGGACCCTCTCTCCCCTCTTCCTCAACTAGACTACCTATGACCCCTGCTGGAGGCTAGACACCCTCTTGTGCCCTTCATCCTGGTACATTAGGGCACAAGGATGGGCTCTAGGGTGTGGGGCTTTCCAGCCTGGACCTCATGAATTCCTGTTTTATAGATGAGGAAATTTCGGTGCAAGATGAGGTGCCCCAGACTAGTTTTGATGCGGGCTACGCAGGCCGCCCAGGCTGGTAATCCACCAAGCTGGCCACAGTGCCCTGTGGTACCTTTAGTGGGCAAGTACCTCATTCGTCCTCTCTAGAACGATGGTCTTGGCCCTCCACAACCATACATGGACAAACTGTCTTGACCGTCTCACGGTAGGAGGGGAGCTATGGTACCTAGTCATGGCTGGCTTGGGGAGCAGAAAGCTGACCATGCCTAGGGTCCCCTTTTTAGGAACGCTGCCCTTCCTTGGCCAAGCCTGAGCCAGGCCTGAGGAAGTTCAGGGTCCAGCCACTAGGAAGTTTCCACAAATGTTAGCTCAACAAAGCCCCCAGGCCCCTCCCCGGGTGAGCTGGAAGAGCTGTGGGAGACGCAGGCCTTCTGTTCTCCCCTGGCCTGCTTGCTAACCTCCAGCGTGAATAAAGCAATTTCTCCAGCCCGCCTTCCTTCTAAATATAGCCTGGCCCCCAAACGCCAGAGGTGGGAGGGGAGGTGGCGGAAGTTTGCCTGGAAGCCTGCTTCAAATTTAAAACCGTGGGCGCTCTGGGTTCAGCGCCCAGGGTGTCTCCTAGGGCCCTCCCCAGCTTCACGGTTTATAAGTGTTGTGGTTCTGTCCCCAGCCCTTCCCGCGGGTCCCAGAGCAACCGCGGTGTGATAGGAAATAGGGAGGGAGTGTGTGGATAGTCAGGGGCTGACCTCTGGGAGGAGGTGCTGCCCACTTCGGGAAGCGGAACACAAAGGAGCCAGGGGATGACGCCACCTCTCTCCAGGGCAGGATTATGCCCAGTTAAACAGGGTCCCACAGAAGACAAATCCAGAGCCTTGAGAGGGGTCTCCTGAGGCCCAAGCCGTCTCCTCGATCTACCAGGGTAGCGCCTGAATAATGACGACCTATTCTGGAGGTCTGAGAGCTACAAGGGACATGGAAGGTCCCACCCCTCTCCAAACTGTGGTAAAGAGCCTGGGTGGGGCCAGAGCGGACGCCACACCCACTCAGAAGCCCAGCCCAGCCCCTCTGCTCGCTGGAAGCATGAAATCGCCCTGCAGCTCCCCCTAGCGCCCGCCGGGGTCACTACGGAAAGAGCAGACGCTAAGGTCTGGTGCGGTTAGGTCCTGCAGCACCCCGCAAATTGGCCTCCAAGACAGTGGGGCGCAACCCACCCCCGGCCCCCCTACACATCGCGACCACTATGGGCAGAAGGTGAGCTCCACATCCCTAGTCTTAGACTGGACTCCAATCTGGGCCCCTTAGCATTCTGAGCAAAACTGACCCGGAGACAGGCAAACACCTGGTTGGAGGGTCCTTCCTGCTCTTACCTACCTAGAACTAACTCACTTCATCCCAGCAATAATCCCATTTCACCCGAAGAGTAAACTAAGACTCAGAGACAGAGATGCTTCTCCCAAGGTCGGAACTTCGGGTAGTGTCCTAGCTGGGTCTCTCCCTCTCAGCTGCCCCCTATGTGGCCTTCTTCTGACCTCGGCTGACTGCCCTTGTGCCCCGGGCTTCTCTGAGACTAGGCTGGGACTTTTCCACTGGGATTTTACTGACTTTTCCAGGGGGAAAGCATCGTGGAAAAGTAAAAGAAACATCACCCGTTACTTGGTGTGATGGCATATCCTGTAATCCCAGCACTTGAGACATGAAAACAGGCGCAGGAATTCAGGTCATCCCCAAGAACATAGCAAGCTGGGTTATCTGGGACCTTTCTTCAAAAATAAAAATAAAAACCAACCAACCAACTTGTTACCGAAGAGAAGGCTCAGCAGTTAAGCACCCAGCTTTTCCAGAGGACTCAGCCTGGTTCCCAGCACCCACACGGTGGCTCACAATCAACTGTACCGCCTGCTCCAGAGAATACGGCACCAGGAATACGCAGACACAAATGTAGGCAGAACACCAGAATACATATAAAGTGAACAAATTGGTGCTGGAGAGATGGCTCAGCCGTTAAGAGCACCTGCTGCCCTTGCAAAGGTCCTGGGTTCCGTTCCCAGCACCCACAAGGTGGTTCACAACCATCCTTAACTATTCCAGTTCCAGAGGCTCTGTTCTCCCTCCTGACCTCTGCAGGCACCATACAGGCCAAACCCTCATAAAATAAAATAAATACAAGTAACACATTTCAAAAAAAATCTAAACAAGCCAGGTGGGTGGTGGCACATGCCTTTAATCCCAGCATTCCAGAGAGAGAGGCAGGCAGATCTCTGTGAGTTCGAGGCCAGCCTGGTCTACAGAGCGAGTTCCAGGACAGGCTCCAAAGCAATACAGAGAAACCCTGTCTCAAAAACAAAAACAAAAATCATATAAACAAATTTAAAATTCTAATTTGTTGAAAAGAATGTTAAATAAAATGCCCAAAATCACAACAAACCACCAACAAAAACAAAGAAAAAAAAAGTCAGGCAGTGGTGGCACACACCTTTAGTCCCAGCACTCGGGAGGCAGAGGCAGATGGATCTCTGTGAGTTCAAGACCAGCCTGGTCTACAAAAGCTAGTTCCAGGACAACCTTCAAAGCCACAGAGAAACCCTTTCTCAAAAAATAAACAAACAAACAAAAAACCACAGCCTCATGCTAAAAAGTGGGCATGGGACGTGTAGGGTTCCGTGAGACTTTGGGAGAGGGCCAGGGCAATCTTCTTTGTCCTGGATATTATATTTTGAGGCAGTATGAAGAGACAGAAGGCAGAGAGAAGCCAGAGTCTGGCTGCTCAGACATCTGAGGCTAGACTTCAGGCAATTTGAGCCTGGAGATCCCAGGACCCTGATGTGACTTGGGCACAGGCCTGGTCCCTCTGGTTGGCCATGTGGTGGGGGGTAGGTCCCCGAACCAGGGAGGCCCCTTACAGGGAGCCAACAGGCAGACCAGGCTGAGCTGGGAGGAAACGTACAACGGCTGGCAACTCTTGACCTTGCCGTGGGATTTCCGCTACCCCAGTCTGTAGCTGTTTTTTGTTGTTGTCGTTCTGTTTTTTCAGTCTTTTTGGCACTTTGAGGGCCTACCACCCAGCTCCCAAATGAACACACGGAAACTTATTCTTTCTTATAAATGCCTGGCCTTAGCTTGGCTTGTTTCTAGCCAGTTTTTTTTAATTATCCATTTACCTTTTGCCTCTGGGCTTTTATCTTTCTCTATTCTGTGTATTTTTCTTCTTACTCCGTGGCTTGCTGTGTAGTTGGGTGGCTGGCCCGATGTCTTCCTCTCCGTCTCCTCTTCTTGCTCCTCTCCTTTGGTCATGATTTTCTCCTTCTATTTATTATCTCTGCCTGCCAGCCCCACCCAGTTCTCTCCTGCCTAGCTATTGGATGTTCAGTCCTTTATTAGACCAATTAGGTGTTTTAGGCAGGCAAAGTAACACAGCTTCACAGAGTTAAACAAATGTGACATAAAAGAATGCAACACATGTTTTGCATCATTAAATAAATATTCCACTATTGTGGAATATTCCTTTGCATTGTGTGAAGATATTTCACTGCAATTGGTTTAGTAAAAGGCTAAATGGCCAATAGCTGAGCAGAATTTTCAGGGCAGAGAGAATGCTGGAAAGAAGGGTGGAGTCATGAGAAGTAGCCAGGCAGAAGACAGAGGAATCAGGAAAGCAACATGGGCAGAGTAAAGGTAATAAAGCCACTAGGCAGAAAGCAAATTAATAGAAATGACTTAATTTAAGTTATAAGAACTATTAATTATAAGAAGCCCCCGTGTGGTTATTTGGGAGATGATAGGAGGGACAGAAAAATCCTCCTACATTCCACAGTACAAACAAATGTAACACATCTTAAACTAATAGTCTACAACACCATGCCACCTAGGGAGCCTAGGACTGATCATTAATGAAGAAGCAATTCACCAGAAGGCTTACTGGAGGAGGTGCCAATGGCTTCCTTCTGACTAGGCCTGTCTCCAGATAGCGTGGGTGCTGTGGCATGCCTGGTATCTTTGGATCTATTATTCCTATGTTGAACTCTTAGGCCCAGGACCTGAGAATGTGCCCTTATTGGAGACAGGGACTTTGAAAAGATAACTAGGAGCCGGGCGTTGGTGGCACACGCCTTTAATCCCAGCACTCGGGAGGCAGAGGCAGGCGGATCTCTGTGAGTTTGAGAACAGCCTGGTCTGCAAGAGCTAGTTCCAGGAAACCCTGTCTCAAAACAAAATAACAACAACAACACAAAAGGCAACCAGTTAGGAGGCTGGCTAGGTTGTTTTTTCAGCTCAGAGACAGATGCACTAAGTTGTCCCCTTCATCAGCCTGAAGATTCTGCTAGTTTTTGACAACCTCAATTTATGCCGAACCGAGACTTGTGGCTTTAAGAGGAAAAGAATTTCAGGACTAGCCAGCCTGAAGGAGGGTTGGAGATTTTGATTACAGGTTCTTTAATACAGGATTACACATGAGGATCAGGAGAGAGTCTTACTTAAGAGAGGACATGTAGGGAGAGCAGCAGAAGGTAAGACACACCTGAGTGAGCGTGTGGCCTCCTCCACGGAGTCAGCAGTGAGCTGCCTTAGCTATTAGCCATATATTCCATTCTGGTGACTCTCAGAGGTTACTAAGAAAGCTTATCTCCCTCCTGCTTTTCCC